CTTCATTCATTGACTCATTGAGCAAATACTTGTGGAACATGCACAGTGTCCTACGTTCTATGCTGTGCGTTTTAAAAATAATTGCTCCCTCACTGAAGGAGCTTACTATTTTTATAGCTTACTGTTTTTAATATTGGGCAAATAAATGATATATGGTAAGATTGGTTGACTGATTGGCTGGCTGACTTGATGAGTGATCAGTTCTGAGCACCTACTATGTTCCAGGCCATGTGTTAAGCCCGGGAATCAACAAGTTTAGGAAACAAGCAAAATCGCTGCTCTCTACCAACACTCTCGCAATCTGAGGAGTTTGCATAGGTTCCCAGAGGTTTGTGTACCCAAATTATAAGCAGGTGGGCACCCAGCAACAGAATCTATAGAAGGGACCCAGGTTAGACAGAAGCAGAAATTAGGATGCAGTAGCGTTTGTGCTAAGAACTTAACTGTGTCCAGTTTGGCTGCAGACGCAGGCCTTTCAGATGGACCTCCTCTCGGGGAAGGGAGCCGCATAGAGCAGTGGTAGGCATGAGCTGTCCCTGGAAAGTTTGTAACCTGTTGCCTAAATCACAAGCAGGAATCTGTCTTTTGCAAAATGTTTTACTATTTAAGAACAAATATTTAGGGTAAACATTATGAGTTACACTTATGACACAAAGAAGTGCTTCCTAAGTGTTCTAATTTCGTGGTGTACATGGAAGAAATACTGGTAGATCCCAGGAGTATAAATGAGTGCAACCTCACCGGGGCCAGGGAATCAGCATTTTGGCACATCTGTGAGCCATCAGGTGCACTTTGTTGGAAAAATAAGCTCAACTGTGTTTAAAATTCAACTACAAGTATTTCTATATATATTTTAATAAAGCACTGATAATTCTACTTCACATAACAAACATTTCTTACACAGTAAAGCCCAACAAAGAAATGGAATATAACACTGATGTGCTGAATCTTAAAATTCTCTGTCATCACTGTAAAACAAAACAACATCTTCGAATGGCACTGTCATGAAGTGTAATAAACTCACTTATACTTCTTTATCTATTACTTGGTTTTTAAATTAGCACATGTGTGTAGCACATGACGAGCACGTTCATCGTGGAGGATTTGTACCTGTGGGTAACATGTCTTAATTCTTTTTTAAAGATCCCTTTCCCCTTGCTTCTCTCCAGCCCTTCCCCTCATTTACATGAAGCTCTCTTTCCATTTCTTCTTCAATTATTTGTCTCCTTTCCAATCCTTTTTCCCTCTCTTCCCTCTCCTTTCCCCAGTCTCTTGTTTTCCTTCCCCTCTGAAGAAGCTTTTCCCACTTCCTACTGTCAATTCTCTGTTTCATATCTTGTGTTTTGGCTTGCTCACATGAAAGAGACAACAGGCTTGACTTACTTTACTTAGGATTATGATCTTGAGGTGCCTTCATTTACTAAAATTTCACTTACCTCTCTTTATTACATTGCAGAATTCTATGGTACATAAAGACCACATTTTCTTACCCACTCATCTATCGATGGATAGAGGAGCTGTTTTCCAGGTTTAGTTATTATAAATTGTGCTATCATAAATGTGGGTGTGCATGGATCATCATAATAAGATGGCTTTAACTCTTTCTGAAAGCTACCTAAAAGGAGACTTTTTGGGTCAAAAGGAACCTCTAGATTCCCCAGTGACAGTATCAGTTTACATACCAACCAACTTATAATTTACGTCCCTAATGATTTATACACCTCTGTCCTGCCCTAAAGCCTGTTAACCGGCAACTGTTATTGGTTGGTTACTGGGCAGTGGTCATTCCTTCTGGAATGATGAAATCTCACTATTGTCGGAATGGCCAGCCATGTCCAGTATTTTTACATGTACATACTGACCATTTGTACTTCTTCATCTGAAAAGTGTCTCTTTGTTTCAAGTGCCCATTTTTGAATCAGGTCTTTAAATGAGGAGGAGCTAAATTTTGTATCTTTATGTATTTAGATATTAGTCCTCTGTCTATGGAGTAGCTGGCAAAATTTTTCACATTAAATAGGTTGTGTCTTCACTCTTAATGATTTTCTTCATGGTGTAGAAGCTTTTTAATTTAATGTGATTCTGTTTGTTAATTCTTTGTAATATTTATATGCAATGATGATTTTATTCATAAAGTGTCTACACTTATATCTTCAGAAGCTTTATTTACCTATTTATTCCATTTTCTAGCAGACTATGTGTTTTCGTTTTAATGTTTATGCCTTTGGTTGATTTTGACTAGTTGAGTGACTGGTGAAAGATGTGGGTCTAGGTTCAGTCTTCAGCCTGAGCAAAGGCAGTTCAGTTCTCCCAATACCCTTTGTGAAGAAAGAGGCTGTGTTCCTTACAGTGAAGACTTTTGGCCCTTTGTCATCATATCTGTTCAATATCATCTTTGAGACACAAGCCAAAGTAATTAAACAAGAAAAAGAAATAAAATGAATAAAAATAGTAAGAGAACAAATTAGATTGACACTCTTTGCTGATGAAATGATCCTATACATAAGAGATACCAAAACTCCACCACAGACTACTAGAATTAATAATATAGCACTAATAACCAAATTTGATAATAACCTAGAATTAATGACCAAATTTGGTAATGTAGCAGGATATAAAATTAACACCCCCAAATCACTAATGTTCCTGTAGACCATGAACTCACCAAGAGAGAAATTAGAAAATTGAGCTCTTAGTGGTGCATCACAGCATTCACACAGGGAAAAGAGAAAATTGACAAGAGAAATATCTTTAAAATATGTGTACTTCAAATAGCAATGAGTACTAAGAAGAAAATTAAAACACGGAGGAAAAAAAGGTCTGAATGGATGGCCTATAAGTTTAGTAGAATTGCCACAAAAGCATTCTGAAGAAATTAACATTTGAGAAAAAATTTTTTAAAAAACTAAGGAATGAGCCAGATGGATGCTTGGGTTACAGAAATACAGAAGTGAATCTGAAGTCCCGAGCTGTGAATCTGTCTGGAGACTATAGAAACAGAAAGACACCAGCTAGAGATGAGAGAGCAAGTGAGAGGTGCAGGAAGAGAAGGCTGAATGCAGTAGAGGGCAAGAGCAAAACCTTGGCTCGCTCTTAATTTTGATGCTGCAGTAAACCACGAAAAGATTTCAGTCTGCAGAGAGTTGTGGTCTTTGATGAGATAGTTTTTGGCTTTTGTACTGAAAACTAACTGAGACCCAATGTGGAAGCCCAGTTGTGAGATGTCCACAGTGCCACAGAAGAAACATTGTGGCGGGATGAGCAATTACATGGGAATGCAAGAAAAAGTGAATCCAAGGTTACTCATCTTCAGCATTTAAGCCACTGTTTGAAATGCCTTTGTGTGCAGACTTTGCTCAAAGGGTGTGTTCACACCCTCAATTATACAGCACATATATATGAATATCACATGAAATTGGCCTTGCTTGTGCAGAAAATTGATTGCAATCACAGCATATAAAACAGCATCCATCAAAAAGTGAAATTTATTTTCTCACATTGAAAGTAACTCTTTTGTTGTTTGGGGAATAATTTCTCTTATAGTAGGTTAGTTACTCCACCCAGGCTACTGTAACACAATGTCACAGGTTTAAAAAACAGGATTGCATTTTCTCACAGTTCTTCCGGCTGAATGTCCCCACTCAAGGTCAACCAGAGTGTGTTTCTGAGGAGTCCTCTCTCCTCCTGGCTTGTAATAGATAGCCATCTCTTATTCTCCCCTTACATCTTCTTACAAGAGGGCTAAATCTACCCCCTCTGGGTCCCACACGTATGACCTCATTTAATCTTATTTACTTCTTTTAAGATATCCTCTCCAAGTACGCAACATTGCAGTTAAGGGATTCAAAGATGCGTTTGGACCCCGGGGCATTTTCTGGGCTGTTTTAGTGCAGACTTAACGATATGTCTCAATGCACAGGTATTAATGCATAGCAGAAAGTATAGCCTGGAATTCTTATTTTTTAAGAAAATTACACAACTCACTGAGATCTGCTTGGTGGTATTTAATTTCATAAGGAGTAGTAAAAACATAGATGTAGGAATATCAGCACTTCCTTGGAGAGAGAGTGGTTGGCTGAAGAACAAACAGTGTTCCTAGACTGAGATTTAATCAACAGGAAAATGAAAAACAACACCTATCAAGGCCATCTGGGACAGTACAGGAGGTCTGAAGAGGTCATGACATACAAGTGGTGGGAAGGAATTTCCTGCGATCATATCATCCTCTGTGTGCAGAGGGCTGGCAGGCAGGTATACGAACAGAAAGCCCATAGGGAGAGAAACTGAGTCATGAAGGAACGTGTATACCACAACATGCATTAACACCTTAATAGCTGATGGCAAAAATGTAATTTTTATTTTAAAATGAACCTCTGGCCTTACTATCTCCCTCTGACATTATCCATGTATCTGTTAGTGTTTTTCATATTTTATTTGGGTTTGGTCACTGTGTCTTCCCAACCAGGTTACAGAACGCTTAGTGACGGAAGTTACAGAGATCACCATTCACGTGTTGCTTGGTGCTCTGTTCCTTAAACGAAGGTTCTGGACTTACGTGGCTACTGAGTTCACTTCTGTCTGGTTTGCCAATCCCTCATTAGAATTCCTAAAAGTTCTTGGAGAGTAAGATCTTCTGAGGCGGAAACAGTCTTTAAATTGCGTATCTATCCAGTTAAGACTGTAGCGGAAAGGGATTTCTCTGTAGACAATATTCTGCACTTGCCTTTCTGCAATCTTCATTGACATCAGCACACATGGCCTTGTCATTAGTGTTTGTTTAAATATTTAAGTAACCAAATCCTCAACACTGGGTTCTTTAACTCAAGTCATAATACAGAAGCTTATTTATTTCATCTCAGCCTCAACAATTTTAAGTGTCAGGGCTTAAATAAGTGTCAGATGAGCTGGTTTGTGTTTAGCTTGATCATTCATTCAAATATTTTCCTAAAATTTTTAGAAAATCTTTCAGTAATGAATTAGTTTCTTTGTTTTCCTTCTAGATAACATCAAAGAGGACAAAAAATTCAAGTAGAACCTAATTACCCCTTCCCACCATGATAATTTTATGAATTATTTTAAGTTTTACCTTAAAGGGGCTAGGGATTTATCTCAGCAGCATAAGCGCCTGCCTTGCAAGCATGCAGTCGTGAGTTCGATCCCCGGTACCAACAAAAACATAAAAGACCAAAAAAATAAAAAATAAATAAAAAAAAAGTTTCACTTTAAAAAGTAGACAATACAGTTTAAATATATAGTTCTTTCAGATAGGCTAATACCAACTAAGTGGCATAGCCTACCAGTTACAGTATTATAAAATACAGGCAAATTTTTACATTTCTTCCACAGATGATGTGACTGTGGTTGCTTTCAGGATCCAGAGGGATGCCCTCCTGTCTGGAAATCATGGAGGCCTGTGTTGGTGACGTGGGCTGTAATGCACACTTGGCCTCTTACCTTAAAGCATGCTCAGCCCAGGGAAGCCTGTGCGATCGGGACCACTGCCAGACGGCCACACAGTCCTTCTATCAGAGCGTGCCATTGAACGTGGCCCAGATGCTGGCCTTCTGTGACTGCGCGCCATCGGACACCCCATGCCAGCAATCCAGGGAAGCTCTTCACAGCAGACGCTGCATGGCAGACTCGGGCCCACCCCCTACCTGCCTCAGTGTCATTCGCAGCTGTCGTGATGATGAGTTGTGCAGGTGAGCGAGGGCACACGGCCCTGACTCTGTGATTTTGCACCTTGTTTGTCCTAGTGCAGTCCTCACACTTGGGCTGGTTACATTAGCTCCAACTCCTGTCACCATCTGTTGGCATGCAAGGCTTGACGCTGCAGTACACATCTAGTGTTCTCTTTCGAAATTCAAATGCAGAGTAGCATTGGAAGATGAAGAATTTAGACATGTCATGGTAGCTGGGAAATAGTGCCACCAAAATGGTGCATTCTTTCTGAACGAGTGAATGAGTCAAGAGTCCAGGTTTGAACCCCAACTTTCTTCTCTGTTTCTAAGTGTGATTATAAAAGGTTGCACGCATGGTAGAAGTTTATTAAGCTGACGCTTGGAGCTTTAAAACAGATCTTTTCTGTCCCAGGCTAATGCTCGCAGAGCAGAAGGCAGCTTCAGCAGATTGGACCCGTGTCAGGAGCGTGCCCCTTCTCTTTGTCTGAGTGTTACTCAGTCCTGTCTTTGGTCCGTTAGGAGATGCTTATGAAGCATCTATGAGCACGCTCAGCGTTAGTGAACAAGAGATAAAAATGCCTGTTCCGTGCATTTTACACAAGCACTTAAAAATAAGAAAATATATGTTATTATAAGGCAATGAGCACCCCTGAAATTAGGAAAGGAGCAGAAGGAAGAAGGCTATGATGGCTCACAGAGCTGCAGTGCAGAGGAACAGGAGTTCCCGTCTGAAGCACTTTGTCACGGTTAAGCCTACACAGTTTTTTGTCTTTTGTAATATACTTCATAGCAAAAGGACTGCATGTCTTCAATTCCTTTTAGCAAGTCCCTCAAAGAATACTTTATAGAGATGATGGAAATATTATATAATATTAATATTCAATATGAAGAGACAAATCATTTCATTTCTCTAAGGGAAACACTTTTGCCCTAGGGAGATTTATAGCATTTATATTAAATTATTGTTCATGTAATTTAGATTTTTAAAAAGTTTCCAAGTAGGAAACCTTTCATCACCCCCTTTTTGCAGAAAAACCTGTACATGACAAAGCAGACCACTGAGGTTTAAAACACTATTTCTGTCCTTGTTTCCCATTGGACTTGGATGGGCTTGAAATGCCTTGAGTTTCTGAAAATACCAAAAGAGACCATTTCTCATTAATTTTGTTGCATACATATATCCCTTGGGAGAAAAGATTATATTTTGCCAATTATAAAATTTTAGAAATTTATTGAAAATTATAACACATATTTTCATATATAAAACCTCACATGCATGGAAGAACTATTTGTTTAGAAACTAGTCTGCTTTTTAAAAGTAAATCTCTATAATACACCTATGTATTATAAGTGATGTGGTATATATTCAAAATTGTATATTAGATCACAAAGGCAAGTGTAATATATTTCATGTGCAAAAATTATGGAAACCATATATTTTGTCTACAATGTAGCTAGAAATTAACAGCAAAAACATAGACAAAATGTTCATTTTCTTTTCAGAGATTAGATTTTTAAATTCTTTCTTAGAACAATGAATCAAAATTAAAAATTGAAGAATATGAAAAATTGGGGTAATAAAAATGTTACCATCAAAACTGTTCAAGCTAAATTACAGATTTTAATTTCAAATATTTTACATATCTAGTCTACTTTAATAGTTTTAATTAAATATTCTTTAATTCATTATATTCACAAAATTTCACTACTTGTTCTCCAAATTAAATAACTTCTACAAGCAGATAAATTTTACAATTTAAATATAGCAGAGCAAGTTCAAAAAAGAATAAATTGCATCTAACTGTGAGCTTATTTTCTGTCAGTTTCCTGGATGACACTACTTTTAAAATTTACTTATCTTTGATATTTTACTTTAACTGACTTGAGGGCACATATTTATCCCTCCCGTCTCAGAATCTTATGCTTATGCAATTTGTGGTTTTCTTAGTTATGAATTTTAATACACATAATTATTTTTCTGCATTATATTAAAAACCTGACCTTTTGAGGTAATTTAAACATAAGATTATTAAAAACAATGTGGCTTTTGCTTTTTGAACAAAAAAGCAGTGTATGGACAAACAAGCTCATGCCTGCCACATGCTCAGCTCTCATGCCCACAAAAGGAAAAATGCAATTTTGGCTGATAAATATCAGTAGCTCCAATGAGAAGAATGTTCCTGTCCTGTGAAAGTTTTAAAAATGGAATAATTGCACGTTATCCAGATTTTTATTCAAAGCTATTCCAGCAAGAGTCAAATAGGTAGTCAGGAAAGTGATCGTGGATGCAGGTCCAATGGATTATCTTAGCCATAAAGTGAATCTGTGATGTTTTACTTTACATTAGCTCTGCTGTCAGAAAAACAAGGCATTTTGTGAATTCTAATTAGTCTGCTCAGAAATGTAGAAAAAGAACACGACACCTCTATTTCTGTAGCAAAACTGGCTTGGAAGCCCAAGTGCTTATTTGAAATCACTTGATGCGAAATCGTGGCCAAATTCTAGCCACAAAACCACATTAGACTTAAAAACTCTTGCTCCTAAATCTCTCAAGTAGCTCATGCTGCAAATCATCACCCACTGAAATAAAGTTAGTAATGAGGGAAAGTGCAACTGGGGACTCCTCCGTTTCGCTTCTGTCTTTCATCACAAAGCACAGTCATTCACAAGCTTCTGCTACTGTTTCTTCCACGAACCTACTGGGAGATTTGAATGCACCATCTGAGTATTCAGCTATGTCCCGGAATCCAGAAATATCTTGTTTTCTTTTAGTGTCTCATTAGCATTATCTGTTAATGTGAAATAACATTATTCAAAATCTCATTCCAGTGCTGGCTTCTTTGTTCCTAGGAGGCGTTACAGGACATTTCAGTTGAAATGCTGGCCCCACGTGACTGAAAAGTGCCATGAAGATGAGACCTGCATTGGCACTTTAAGCAAACGGGATGTCACATGCTCCGGAAGTGAGGACTGCACAGCCGCTTACATTGGCATCCTTGGGACAGTCCTTCAAGGCCGGTGCACATGCAGGGGCACTGCACAAACTGAAGAATCTTTGTGCAAGATTTTTCAGCAACTGCTCCATAGAAAATCATGTTTCAGTAAGTTCTTCAAATACAGTCTGTCATCGTCTACCAGTATACATGCATGTACCTGTGAGTCTAATGTCTATCTGTCATGTTTCAACCTTGTGGGATTTGTTTGTTTGTTTGTTTTTGGTTTTCTGTTTGCTTCTTTGCTTGTTTTTGTCTTTTTGAAACATGCTCTCGCTTTGTAGTTCAGGGTGGCCTCAAATTCACAGGGATCCTTCTGCCTCAACTTCCCAAGTGCTGGGATCACAGGCATTTGCCGCCTCATTTGTGTTTTTAAGTAGTAATCCAGCAAAGAAAATTTACAATTGCTAGTCCTCTTTAACATCTATTTTCCAATTGTGTTCTCAGTGTTTGCTATTTTACTAATGTATTAGGAAGTAATTCACTTAAAAATTTACATGATAGGCCACTCCTAGTTATCATTTATTGAATTCAATGTCAACAACAAAATGTTTAACCTATCAAATTTTTAAATTAAATGGATTAGATGTTCACTGATAAGAATTAAGCCACTCCAAAAACATTAGCTCACAAAAATAATAATTTATTTGATTCCAATTGTCTACACTGGGTGTAGGTCCACTGGTGAGTTCTCCTGAGTTTTGTCTAGGGCTGCTCAGGCAGCTAAAGAAATCTGGTGGCTCTACTGAGACTTGATGGTCCAAAATGGTGCTCTGTGAGCATCACTGGCTGGTGGGCATGGCTCTGCTCCAGGTGGCCTCTTCCACCATGTAATCCAGGCCACTTCCATGAGGCAGCAGAATTACCAGTGGCTAAGACCTAATATGCAGGTGTTTACCGAGTGTCTACTACTGTCTTATTGTGAATATTCCATTAGATAAAGATGTCACGGGCCAGGGGTATAGTTGGGTGGCACAGTGCCTTCCTGGCAAGTGTAAGGTCCTGAGTTTGATTCCTGATTCAAAAAAAAAAAAAACCAAAAAAGGCATGTTGCCAAGTTCAGTGCCACTAGAGAAATGACTACGTGAGGACACCGCTGGTCAGGTGTAGTCACTAATTTAACAGTTTAATTTTTAAAAATTAACAATCCACTCTGTAGCACTACCCTAACCTGGGTAAAACATACTTAGCCTTCAGTTTAGTTTTGTCTCCTCTTTAACATGTGCCTTTGATAGCCAGCCTTCTAATGCTAAAATGGAAGACATGTTTTTGAAGCTATTCTTTGATCTAATTTAGAGATAAGAAAATTGAGGTTTTGAAATTTAGTTTGTCAACATTCTGAAAGTGAGCACGTGTCAAGAGAGATTTTTCTATGCAATCTAAGGATATGTTCAGGTGTTAAATCAGACTTCTCCATATCAGCCTTCAAAATTAACCCATGAAATATTCATGCCCTAATCCCTCTCCAGGTCTCCTGAGCTCTTGATTATAACCAAAAAACTTCAGGTACTATATTTCCAGTAAGAAATAATGGGTGGTATATGTTTCATGACAAATTAAATCTTTATATTACTGGAAATTGTTGGACAGATACAGACAAAGTCATATATCTATACATTCCTATCTTTCCACATATAGATATATGTATGTCTATATTTATTCACAGATACCCAGTCTTTAACTTTTTTTCATTTTTCTATACAGATACTTAGGTGATACATACTAGCCAATGTGATTGACGCAAAATTTACCATACAATAAACTACAGCTAGGACAGTGCTCTGTGGAATACCTACAATTTATACAAAAAGTACTACAGACATTTTAACTGAAATTATGATGGTTTGTGGTATTTCAATATTGAATACCAAATAGTCAAATGAATTAAACCAACAGCAATATATCTTGTTATATGACAATGTTTATTTATCAATGGGTATATTAAATAGCACAAAAAAAAACACACAGATTCTACAGTACATAGTAACATAGTTTGTTGGGAATGGATTCTCTAAAACTATCACTATAGGTATACACATTCTGAATCAAAACATGTTTTGCTCCATGTATTTTTTATTATTGTGTTTGTTTTCATGTTTGGCTCCTGTGACCTTATTGACCAAAATACGTTTCTGGAAGGCAGCAGTAGGGGACATTTAGAATCCACAACCGGTAAAGTATTATATTAATGCTCGGAAAAAATGAAAATTCAAGGCTATTTCATCTTTCTTCACTTGAATTTTTGTTAGGAAGTTTTCTTCTTTAATATTGTCCCCTGAAACGAGGTGTTTTAAGTGATAGGACTAAGGATCCTTATAGGCTTTGGTCAAACTTTTTGGCACTTGAATTAATAGCAAAAGTCTGAAACAAAAAACCAAGCCTCAGGCATGGCGAGTTCAGGTAAAGTCTATCTCCTGCCTCAAAGGCACAGCAGGACTGCAAGGACACTTTGTGAAGGAAACGTTTCTGACCACCACGCAGACCTCTGACGCCAGCCCTGCTCTCTCTTTTATTTTCAAGCATCGCTGCCGTGTATTTCCCATACCTCTGCTTCCTTCACCTTGCCGGAAAGGAATAGAACTAGTAATCGTAGAGCGACTAGCCTCTGAGCACCTGCACTCTGCCATATTTTCTCATTTCATCTGAACCAATCTGCGATCTCTTACTACTGACATCTCAACTTTACCGGAGGAAGTTAGGGGATGAAAGGCTTCAGCCTTTGGGCTCAGGACGTATGACCCTGTAGGGTTCCCTTTTATTTGGATCCATTACATTCTTGGGCTTGCAAAATAGTAAGCAAGAAGGGTTCGTGCCGCATCTTTTCAGTATATCCTGCAGCCTCCTGCGCACCAGAGGCTCATGCCCTGTTCTCAAAGCCTCCCTGGAGAGCCACAGAACCTCGTGTGCGCCAAAGGGACCAGATGTGACAGAGGAGCCTCCTGTGTGCTGTGCCTCCGAGGCCTGACTCTGCTGCTCTCCTCCAGATTCACAGCCGGCTTGCCTGTTCCATTTTGTAGCAGAGCACACACAGTGTTGATAGAGAGATAAAGGCCACAGAAGAGAGACTGGCTGGGATAGAGAGTGGTTAGGACAGGATTCGGCTTTGCAGAATGTCCACCCTCTATGCTTTGCCTGAAGCCATTTTTTTTTTTTTTTCCTATATGCAATAGTCACAAAAATAGGAATGGTGATAAGAGCAGTTTACATCTAAAGACTCAGTTCTTCCTGTTTGGAGAATTTTTGAAAAGAAGAATATATGTACCTCATTAATCCTAAGAAAGTGGAAAGCATAGAATTTCAAATATAATGCAAGCTCACACAACTGTAACATCCACAGAAATAAAAATGTATACTTCTCACAATCCTATTCTTAAGATAGCTAACACTAAACCAATTGCGTTTTTTGTTTTTTGTTTTTTTTTTTTCCTTTTCTTTTGGTTTTCTTGAGACAGGGTCTCTCAACCTAGTTCAGGCTGGCCTTGAACTCATTTTGTAGTCCCGGCTGGTCACAAACTTGCAATGATCCTCTTACCTCAGCCTTCACAGTGCTGGGATTATTGTATAGTCTTTTGAAAGTTTTCTTTACTTTCAGAGCATAAATATTCTGAATACTTCATATAGACTCATAAACGCCTCCTCACCCTGATGCATTGTGTACACTCACACGCGTGCTTACACACACACACACACACACTTTAATGATTTATACATATTGTTTCACAACTTGCTGTTAAAATTTAAAATTAAGTGGTAAGTCCATTTCTGAATTTGCACATTTACAGTGATTTATTTAAAATAAAAATGCTGCATAATACCCTATGGCAGTGGTAGCAAATCTATGGCAGACATGTTATTTGTTTTTCTTTCTGAGAAAAGATGTTAATGTACAACCTGTGTTTTCTAAACTAAAAGCTGTGTCCAGGTTCAAGCACTCCATTGACACTTTGCAGTCCATAAGTGGTTTTGGGTTTCAGCCCACCCTGGTCTCTAAAAGGTTCCCCATCACCATCCTGTGAAACACTCACACACCTGGTTAATCAGTCTCCGGGTAGCATGGGCGCTAAGGCGTGTGTGCTGTTTGTCACAGGTCTCGCAGTGCTGTCACAGGTCTCACAGTGTGAGGCGCCACAGAGCTGACTTCAGTCCAATGTCCCACTGAGACACGTCTGCATGTTTAAATTTGGCAGAAACTGGAAAAATGCTTGTTCTAATGATACTCTTGGAAAAATAGTATTGCTTTTCATTTGATTTTTAGTATAAATAACTACTTTTAGTGGCTTGCTTAAAACTTTAGGTTTCTTCTTCCCTATTTATATTCTCTGCTTCTTTAATATCACTAAATGGCCCACTGCTGCTCACTTCTGTCCCATGAGTGGGTGTGAAGCCCTCTGCCCGCCATCCCGAATTCCCTGTCTCTTAGGGCAAACTGATGGCCCGGTCTGGTGTCAGATCCAGACCTGCTGGGAGCAGAGTGGTCACAGAAGGGAAACTCACTTCACACTTCTCCGAACTGGCAGTGGTCTTCCCTAGCAGGTGGCTTGCTTTATGTGTGTAAAGGACTGTTTATGCTAACTAATAAATACTTGCAGAGGAAAATTTAAAACTTTAGTAAATCAGTGAAAAATGGTGAGTTTTAGGGCTCAGTTTTAGAAACTAACACTTGCCATGATCTTCAGAAAGTTTTAGGAAACCCTCAACATCAGATCTTTTTTCTCCCAAAACAGAGAAACTCAAACTCCAAATTTAGTGTTCCAAAATTCTTTTCATTGCTTTATAATGTTATGACATCTTGAACACCAATCAATATATTGTTTATCTTCCATTTTGAGTATCACATAAATGGACTCACGTTTGCTTTTTCTGTCAACTGTGTTGTATTTAAACAAGTCTGTTGTGATACCTAGTTGGTGGATTCCTTTCTACTGCTGTGCAATATTACACTGCATGAAAATATACTACGAATTGTGTAGTGTGAGCACTCTAGGGCCAGACGCACACTGCTTTCTGGGGAAGTGGTTCTCAGTCTTTGCTCCACATGAGAATCACGGGAGAGTTAGAAATCTGGTGCCCAGTAGCCCAAGGGCACCACAGTCCACGCTATGCCTGAG